AATAATGACAATAACCAGAATGATCCTTTTCACACAGGGTTTGGATCAGCTTTGCCCCAGTTTCATTATTTGTTCATCAGTGTACGTATCTGTCCTTCTATCTCTCATGATTTTTGTCACAACAGCTGAGACAATAGACGGGGATCAGGTTCACAGGCAGGCGGGAACTGATATTAATATGATGTCAGAAACGGCACAGAGGCACACCTTGAGGGACCTTAGAGCAGCTAAGAAAGAAAGAACAGGACACGCATATCGTGCACACAAAGGGCTCATTGGAGACTAACCAAGAAATGCAGTTGTGGGCATCCCTCATCTCTGCTGTGAACAAAGGACAGCAACCACACACACACACACACACACTCAGGCATGAACACATACACTTAACTATCTGTGCAATGCCAGAGTAAGAACAAAGATATAATACATTTTTACTGCATGTTGGCAAACGAGCAGTCCATTTGTCCAATTCTGATTTGTTTTAAATCATAATATAGGACATTCATTCTTGTTTCCCACTGCTGGAAACTTGCAGCAACAACAGAATAGTGCCCTTGAGGTCCTTTTTTATTTTTTTGCCATTTTCTCCTACTACTGGCTCTGTGGTGCCAACATATTCTACTATTCTACTTCAGGCTACATTTCCTTTCTTTTTAATTCAGAAAAAACACCATCAAATCCATTTTTCACACCCGGAATGCACTGGAAAGAATCCCTCCGTCACCAGTTCCCACAACTCACCTACAGTAGCCCATTGGGGACAATAGATGCATTCAAGTATGAATAGCTGGCAGTTCACCGAAATCTTCTGAACAGGGTGAAAGGATACTCCTAAATTGCTGTGCATCAAGAACCTTCAAGGTTTTTTTTGCCACCAGTCATTGTTAATTTCTGTTTCTGCATCTGAGAAAGTGCACACACAAATATCTGTCAGAGTGCAAACTCCGACTACCTCTCTATTGTACTGATTAAGTTAACACTGTGATCTTGCATCTTTCCTCTTACCAGCTTCAGCACAGACATCGTTACTTCAGAGAATCAAAGAACTTGATGGATTCAAGTCCACAGAGAAGCAACTCTAACAGTTGACTGACAGGACTTGACTGATAACAAGGTCATTTTCTGTTCCTCCTAACAAATGGGCAGTCACTTGTGATGAATGCTTTAATCTCAAAATGACCTACTGATCATCCATTGTGTATATGTGTGTGTATGAGTGTGTGTGTGTGATATCTGTCACTTGGAGGCTCCCAGCACTATTATAACGAGCATACGGTTGGCGTCACACGCAGCTCACATTAACCCGTTGGCTCTTTCTGCAAGATTGTGTGCTTGTATCTTCGTCTCTATCTTGTACACATGCATTTCTATGTAAGCGTGCAGGCGTCTTCATCCACAAGGAAGCAATGGCTAATGTAAGTGTTTTACTCATGTTTTAATGTCTGATTATGTGCAGTGAGTCAGGGAGAGAATGAGGCAAAGTCTTTGGCTCAGAGCTACAACTTGAGTGCCGCCTCGTTCTCCTCATCTAGACTCATCATCCGTCTTTATGAAGTCTGCACCCTCCGGTTGCTGTCCGAAACTTTTGCGGTCAGTGCCCTGAGAGAAGTCAGCCGTGCACCCAGAAAACTCCCTCACACTCCCACAGCCGCTCAATAAGGACTATTCATGGCCAACACTATAGGCAGTGACAGAACAGAACATTGTGCTTACACACATTTATGCCAATGTAAGGGTGAGCCAGAGGTGAGCAAGAAACCCCAAGAAGTCCCAATCCAATTTCACAGAGAAATTCACTGCAGAAAAAAAAGCACAGAGACACAATGAGATGTTTCAAGTGCAGCTTCAGTCTCAGAAGAATTGCAGTCAAACATCCCGACAATCCCACACTCCCCTCCCCGCTTGAATCCCTCTCTCCTGCTAGAACAAGATCCATGAGTGGCTCCTGCAGATATCTAACCTGGCAAGCATATGAATGTCTATGTGTCTGTGTGTGTGTGTGTGTGTGTGTGTGTGTTCCTCAGGCCGTCCCACAGGGGATACGTGCGTCTCGTCTGTGAGTCACAGGCAAAGTCTGTGTCTGTGTAAGAGACCATCAGAACACATCAGCGTCAACATCCCCTAGTTTACCTCAGGCAGAGACACACAAAGACACACACACACACACACACACACTTGCATTGTACATGGTTAAACCTCCCCAGGGCTATGTGCTATCCCCCCCACGTCCCCTCAAGCTGAAACCTCAGTTTCTCTCCTCCTTCACTTCCCATGTCAGACAGGCCGTCCACTCACACTGGACAACTGCTAGCATATGCTGCTCGCCCGGGAAACACAGATAGCTGTTCGGGACTGGATGAGGCACTTCATAACACACACACACACACATACACACATTTTTCACCACAGACAAACTACAGTATGCATAAGGCTCCAAAAGGACCACATTTTCTTTTAAAGCAACAATGGTTTTAACTGTTTTTCACTCCAATTTTATGTCATCAAAAGCTGTTGTTTTGCCTGCTGCAAGGAAGATGCCGCGCATCACAGTTTACAGTAAACAATGTCCCCTTGTGACAAACCCTGCTTTGAAAATCTTCCAGTCATAGAAATCTAAGAAAAATGTAAAAAAAAAAAAACACAAATGAGTGGCTGATTATGCACCAGAGTCCTTCTAAGAAATAGACAAAATAACTTACGATTAAACTAATTAAGCTTGTCCTGAAAATAGGATTTCTATGACCAGATTGTCACACAGATTTTTGATTTAATTTAAATCTAATTACCACGATTATTTCATAATAAGAAATAAGTGAAGATCCATTACCAGATATGTTTACATAAAAAAGATAAGTGTGCAGAATAGGAAAAAAACAGAATTTCTGGCACATCATGAGGAAAAACTGAAGGACTGTTTTCCAGGAAGTAAAAATAACAATGTTTGACATTGAGTATAAGAAAAATTGTGTTTTTTTTTGTAAATGACATGACATTTGTGAAGTAGTTTTAATTTCTTCGTAAGGCCGTGCAATCAGACTGTTGGGGATAATAAACATAAATCTGTCTTGTAGAAGAGAAATAGCAAGCAGACAGAGAATGGAGCAATGGAGACAAAGACACACAAGAGAAACAAAGGTCAACAGGGAAACAAACAGAAAAACAATCAACAGAGAAACAGACAAAAAGAACATGGAGACAGAGAGGCAGACAGACAGAGACAGGGAAGTGTAGAAACAGAGACAGACTAATAGAAACAGGGAAAGAGACATAGAAACAGGGAAAGAGACAGATAGAAACAGGGAGGTGTAGAGACAGACTGACAGAAACACTGGAGCATACAGAGAGAAGCTGACTGAGTGGACAACAGAGCTTCACTCTCTGAGTGCTTCAGCGAGGCTCTCTGTGCTGAGAGTCATTATCGTTCTATGACACAGATGAATGGTACATTAGCATAAGGGAGGGCCTGACATGGCACATGACAGACACAACTAACTCTTTTTGCTCCTGTCACCATTTTATGAGCTTTCGCAGCCGTGACATATCTTTCCTGCCTGCTACATGTGTTTGTCCGTTTATGTGGCGTGTGCATGCAAGTGCGTCACTTAAACATCCACAGCACAGTTCATCACGTGAAAAAAGCATAGGGCATTGTAGCCAGACACCCTGCCGGTATGCAGGGTGTGTTTGTGTATAGAAGAGAATAAAAGAGAATATAACAGCTCTGCAGAGCCTCACTACACAGTGAGTGTTGGGTAAGAGCCTCTGTATGGACTTGTGGCCTTGTTTGGAGTGTGCCGCATTCTGGTGTGTTGTTTAATGAAGAGGCTCTTAGAAAATACACACATTCACACACACACTCACAACAAATGATATCAATGGTTGGAAAATGAGTGCATGTTTGGTAGGTGAAAGCTGCATCCCAAGGTCTTCCATCCGTTGATTGTTCTGCATTCTTGTTAATAATTTCCAGAGTGTGTATGTCCGTGACTATTCCTGGCATGTGATTAGGAGTTTTTTTAGACGGAGCCGAGTGCGTAGGGGAAAGTCTCTTACCCCGGCTAAGCTCTGGGTTTCCGGTTCACTCTTTGCAACTCTGCTGACTGAGTGGAAGTCACTTCTTGGCTTCTTCCTCATCTTTGTTGACTCACCCGTTAGGCAGCGTGTATGTCCATATAAATAGCAAGGGAATCCTTTGTGCGTATGAGGTGTCCTACTGATGTAGTGGCATAGTGCCACTTAAACACCTTAGAGCTGGGAAACACTGGGATTGCCCAGCCTATCCATCCAGTAATAACTGGATCAGTGTGTGTCCGAGGTGGCCCGAGCCAGGCTGCTACTAACTAATGTCCTAATTGGATTAGTGAGTGTGGCTGTGTGTGTGTGTGTGTGTGTGTGTGTGTGAGTAAGGGCTTCCCCAGCTTACCGTGTCTCCGGTGTGTACAGTAAAGCTGCTGGAGCAAGACGTGCATGTGACGTCACTCTCTAAGGCAGTTGTCCAGTCGCTGATGTGACCTGATGACAGGCTTTTTTCCTGCTGCAACAGCAACACCAAAAAGGATATTCCATCAGCAACACAAGTGTGATCACTGAGCAAGAAGAAAGAAGACAGAAAGGACTAATTTACCTGACAGAATCCAATAGGGCAAGCTGTTAATGAGTTGCTAACTGTGCTGCGGAATCAAGTCCAAGTCTGTGTGGGACAGCCCCAAGGACCCCCTAAAACTCAACAAACTGCGGCCATTACTATGATTACATAACTCTAAGTCTGTTAAATTCTACTTGGGATCACGAAGAACAAATATACAGACTAAATGTTGCTATTATTTAATTGAATTGTATTTTCTTTGGCATCACGGTGGATCAGAGGTCAGCTCCCTTATAGTTTACTCAGTCATCTCATAGGGAGAATATCGTGGATTCTCCAGGTGCTCTGGTCCCCTCACACAGTCCGAAAACATGAAGGTTCGGTTAACTGGTCACTCTAAATAGATCCTAGGTGTGAATGTAGTGTAAATGTTTTACAATAGATGTTGCAATGTCTATCTAGTGTTTGCTAACACGGTGGCTCAATGGTTAGCACAGTCACTGTTGCATCAAAATCACAGTGGCAGCCCATTGCAACACTTAGGATGGGTTGCCATTATACAACTGTAAAAACTTTTTATTTAGAGATTTTATTTTTAAAAATGTCCGTTTCAATGCAGTTTTTTTTTTCCTTCATTAAAAAATATGCTTTAAAAAGGTGGATCGGAACCCACCTTGTGTCACTAAAAGAAAGTGTGGAGGTTGTAAAAGTTTCTTAACCCACAGAAGACCACTTAATCTTTCAATAAATTTGAGATGACATTAAAATCACAGTAATAGCGACCCCAAAGCTGTAGATGCTCAATACACGTAGAAAGTATTGTTATTTATGATCCTGAATTCAACACAAGAACCCACAACTTCAGTTATACCTGCCACTGGATGAGTTCATGCACTGGCTCTGCAACTCAAGACACAGTCGCATTTCCACTAGGGGCAAACACAGACTCTTCTTATGTATTACTAACATTGTGTGGTATCAGTATTGACAATGTTCTTGAAGAGACAGCATGTTCTTCTAGTCCACAACTAAAGAATTGTTAGTTAAGGCTTAAGGTTATAGCATCCGCGGGGCCTTAAGTAATTTCTCCTAATTACTAGACCCCTTAACACGCAGTACTGTACAGAGACCACGTGCAATCTTGACGTGCATGATGCATCGTGGTTCATGTGAAAGAGCTCTCTGTGTGCCTGTCCTTAAGTTCTCTACAATTCACAAACCAGCAACAACACAATTAAGTGGTTAACCTGACAGGACCATTGTTCAGTTTTTTTAGTGTTACTTATGTACACAATAATGCTCTATCTCAAAAAGTACCCCTTCTGTCACCTGACCAATGCAACAAAGTCTGAATATAGTTTGTTCCTGTGTTTGCATGTGTGGGCGAGTGAGTGGGGGCAGGGATGCTGAATGTGCCAATCCATAAGCCCCATCGACAGAAAAACTACTGTTCCTCAACCGGAAAGAGCACTGGAGGAGAAACACTCAAACTGGATGTCCTCAGAGCAGTTCAAACACACATATACACACAGTAGGCCGGCAAAGATGTCAATACTGAATTTTGGAAAAAGAAACATTGGACAGTGGAGTGAGTGGCAGACGGAGCAGGAGAACTTGTTTTTGGAAATAAATCATAAAACTTCATCGCATATTGTTCACCCAGTTGAAAAAAAACGGATTTTCTCACTTTTCTCTTGTGGTATCTAGACATTCTGATGTGTTCAGAATTAGAGATTTAATATGGATGTTTTATAAGAGCTGGATACCCAACTCAGCTCATCTGGTACAGCGCGTATCCCTCGTCAAGTGTTCTGCCCAGGTCCGAATCCAGCTCTGGGCCCTTTGCTGCATGTCATCCCCTCTTCCCACCTTTACTGTCACTGTCACGATCCAAAAAAAGTGATCTGTCAAAAAAATGATATAAATTAAAAATGCAATAACATTAAGTGTTTCTTCCACTCGGCCCATGGGCTTTATATTGTGATGATGGCACACAAACCACAAGCCTGAACTGAAAAAAATAAAATAAAATAACATTTATAATAATAATAATAATAATAATAATAATAATAATAATACAAAGAGCAAAAATTGACTTTTTTGCAGTTTGAGGAGACAACAGTTTCAGAGGTGTCTCTATTGTATTGGTGGTGTGTGGGGAAAATGCTTTTATGCATACAAAGAGCAATAATTGATCTTATTAGTAGTTGAAGGTGTCGTGTCAAAAATGTCTTGTGTCATCCACGAGATCTCCACATCTGAGGTTTCTGCCTCTGCCCAGGTATAAAGGAGGTGAATCTCTGAGGCGGATACAGCATGTAAACATCTAAATATGTTTTGGTTTTTTATTTAATTTGGGTGAACTAACCTTTTAAAATAACATCTTTCAGCACACTTAAACCTACAGTTTAATTATTTATTTAACTTGGACATAGTAATGAACTTATCAGGACACCCTAAATAAATATAAAAGAGCATATGTCCACATTTGTGATTGAATGAGTCAGTGTAAAGAATATTAATATATGAGAGCTTTACTGCGTGAGCATGCACGTTTGTGTTTTTAAGCGCTGTGGCTTGTTACCACAAATCTTTCATGGCATGCTAATTAAACATTCAGCTCTTCATCTGAACCGTCCAAGAAGCAACATAACACTACAGGGAATTCAAACATGAGACCATGACTTTCCTCATGTTAACATTCCATCAAAGTCACATTACAAAAGCATCAAGTCAAAGTCACCATGACCCCCATACCCCCTGACACAACCGCTATCATTTTAAACCCCAGCCCTACAAGCCCCACTCATTCACACATCAATCAGACACCTCCTCCCACACATACCACTACCACATACGCCCACACACAAGCACACAACACACAATTCATGTGCACATTTGCAGCACAGGGGTAATTAGGTACAGGACTGCACATGTCCTCTGGTCTTCTCATCCCAAAAAATACAACCTAAGGCTTTGCATGTAGTACTATCCAAACCATAGTGGATTTATTTATGAGTATGTGAGCGTAAATGCCTTCCAGCCACTGTCTGTGTGTGTCAGTGCTTATATACAAGCATTTGCATATACTGTGTGTGTGTTTTTTAGGCCTTCAGGAGGTCACACAAAAACTACAAAAATGTGTTAACAGCATGTAGAAACCATTTGAGTCTGCAGATGAAGCAACCTGCTAACATGCAAATCACAGGGCTGATATGCTATTATTCCAAAGGTGGCATACGGTTGAGTGTTAATTTACTTAGAATCTTGTATATGTGTATGAATTTGAACAGCGCCTTTTCATTTTCAAAGAAAATAAGAAAAAAAAAGTTCAGTCAACAAATCTCAACTTTTGATTGTTTTATATATAATACTTTGGCCTAAGATGACCTTGTCTGCTGTAAACTGAAGCATCTTTACTGCTGCAGGTCCAGGAAATAATAAATCAGTTTCAACCAATCACCATTTTAACAAAAAAAAAGATTTTTCTCAGTAACAAACTAGGAAAAATTAAAAACAGCCAACATTAAATATGCCTCAGGGAAAAACATATGTGCTCAGAAATGTTAAACAACAGAAATCAATCATTCAGTTTTTGTTTAAGATTTGTGAACATGTTCCCTACCATCAAGAAATTTGCTAATTACTTGATAGCTGTGAGGATGCTGCAGTCATGAAATATAAATTTGTTCTTGGCGTGGGCTGTGTGACATCATTTGGAAAAAAAAAATTTACTGTTTCACTCCCTTGGAAACAGGATGTTTTTATCAATTATTTCAGAAAAAAAAGGCCCGCTGAGACCCCTCAACACTCTGGCCCACATGCATACACACACAAAAGTACACACATTCACAACTACCTCAAAGACGCACAGCCTTTGCCATTGAGAGGAGAGACTTAGCCAATCAGAGGAAGGAGGACGATAGAGGAGGAAGTTGTTGTGGTCACACTGTATGTGTTCATCATCAGCGCTGACAGAAATAGCTCTGTCAGAGAGTAAACAACACATCCCATTCATAAAAAATAAAAAAAACACCCAACGAACGCCTACTCCCCTACAGTGCAACGAGAGGGGAAGCAGGAGATAAAGAAAGAGAGAGAAACAGACAGATAAATCCACAGAGACAGATACTGTACAGAGACAAGAGAGACGGAAATATAGACAAAGACAAAAAAGAAAGCGACAAAAAAGAAAGCGACAAAAAAGAAAGCGACAAAAGAATAGCGTGAGACGTGGGGCCGCAGTTAGAGTGAAAAAGAAAGCCTGGTGATGACATCACATCCTCGTCACTGCTGGTTCCACTTCTTTGGTTTGGAAAACACCAGAAACTTACGTCACGTGGTGAGACACCACTTTCCAAGTCTAACTCTTTCTCAGTAAGTTACACAGAACCATGACACATAGACACATGCGCGCACACGTAAACACAAATGTATATACACATGTTCTATCACAGACATATAGTAGCTTTTTGTTACACAGGACTCTGTGCATCCATGCATGTTCACTGGAGTCACCAGCTGTTTCCCAGCCCACACGTTGTGCCATTACACCAAACCACTTTCCACTCACACACACACACAACCAGACACACAATCAAACACGCACACAACATGGTTACCACGCAATGGTAGATAAGGAAATTGTTAAGCGTTGTTAAGTTACGTGCATCTCTGTGTGTGTGTGTGTGTGTGTGTGTGTGTGTATGAGTGAGCACATGCACGGTGTGTCAGAAAGAGGAAGTGATGCAAGCTGCAATGGAAGGTATATTTATAGAAAAGAGCGTGTCCATCTCACTTCTCTTTCCAGGATTAGCACATACACAAAGTACAGACACACACACACATTAGAGCAACCAGTGAAAGTGCACACTTCCTTGCCACAAACACCAACACAGTCTTCCAGTAGTGGATCTGATGCAATGTGAAGCAGTTTCAGATACATTTTTTAAAAAAACATCATCTCTTGCAGGTTCTGCTGTTAGCAATGTGCAGACTTGC